ATTCCGTTTTTCATCGCAACTATCTTGTCCCCAAAAGGGTTACTTCGACGTGGTGTAATGGTTAATAAGCTTGCCTCGCTGGAACATTTATGACTGTATAGTGAGTTCGATCCTCACTGGGCGCCCCAACTTTCGGTTTTATTATTTACCGCTTAGTAAAACACTATCTCGTCCACAAAATGTATTATTCTATGTAGTTAAAAAAAAAGTGAAAGATGATTCCGTGCATCGAATATTGGTGTCACATCTAGGGTCTGGTGCTTCTGTGATGCATCTAGATGTTCTTGGCACAACCTAAAGAAAACAAAAAGTTCAATGTTATAGGTTCTGATCTGGCATCTCGGCTTCAATCCCTTTCCCACCGGCGTAACATAGCACGCCTGTATCTTTTCTGCAAATATTTTCATGGCAATTGATCTGATGAGATTTCCGCTTTGGGATGTCGATTCCACCAATTTAAGCGTAGTACTAGCTAGGTCTCACCAGTTTACTGTAGAAAATTTGTAAGTGTATCTGTAAGATTTATAGTAAGTTTTTCTTCTCACGTATTTCCCGCTTGTGAAGCTCTCTTCCAGCTTATGGTCTTCCTGTCAACTACAATCTTCAGACATTTATACACTGCGTGCCAAATTATTATCGGGATAACTTTTTTTCTAATATTTCAAAAACCCTCCAATCAATTCGCACAAAATTTTTCGTACTGATCTGCGCAATGTAAAGAAACTGGCGCCGTATTTGTTATCAGCAGGTCAGTATTGCCAACGTTGTGCGAAAATTGGTACGCAGTGTACGTAACGACAATCGTCGTCTACTGTTTCCTTGAATCCTGTTTTTTTTTTTGTTTTTTTTAAATTGTCCTTTCTCCTTGATAAGTTTCATTCACTCTCGTTAATCTCTTTCGTCTCAAGGGATTTATCACTGTGACAGAGAGAGTTTGGGAAACACATACACGTATATTTTTCTTTCTTTTTTTTTTTTTTACTGAAATGGCAGTAGATTTTAATTGCAAAATTAGATCAGAGTAATTTGTTTACTGATGGGAAATCTGATCTAGGGCAGGAGCTGTACCCATTGGAACTGAGTCATTAGTAGACAATGGAAAATGGTCGAAATAATTTTTATTGATTAAAACTTGGAATAGAGCTGAGTAAGCAAAGAGTACCTTTAGAATTCACATGATTTTGGTTGAAACAGCCAAAACCCCGTGTGAATCGCGTGCGAAGTAATAGGGCCAAGGTTCAGTTGTAACCAGCCGGGTTTTTCTATATAAACGCGTGGTTGTGCTGAAAAAGAGGCGGGCGGAAGAGAGAGACGGGAGAGGCTGCGATCGGTCGACACGTCGTCGTTGTCGCCTGTGTGCCGTCACGTGCGTGGGCATCCGCGTCGATCGTTACGCGTTGCGGGGCTACAGGAAAGACGGATGAGGCAGACGGAAAAGAGAGACGGAAGAGAGAGACGAGAGAAAATTCTTGGCGAAACTGGAGAAGAGAATTAGCCCGGGCAAGAGTTGGGCTATAGAGTCGAGTTAGAGACTCGAGGAGGAGAGAAAGTGACTTCAGAGATTGGAACGAAGCGTCCGCTAACATGTACTGTTGATATAAGTACCGCTGCTTCTGCTACCACGAATATTACTACTACTGTTACTACAGCTAAGGAGGAACGCCACTATAAACTTTAAGCCGCGCACAGAAATCTTATTCCTCCATCGTAAGAGTCGTATATCGTTCTGAGACGATTTAACTACAAGTTAATCATAACACACACACACACACACACACTCTCTCTCTCTCTCTCTCTCTCTCTCTCTCTCTGTCCGGAATCCAGTGTATGAGTTTTTACATCAATTACTTTTCTTTTCTGTCACCCGTTTCTTTTCTATACTATTTTTTCTGCTATATAAAAGACATTAACAATTCAATCATTGAATAGTTGTTTGTCCGGCTTTCTGCAGATATTAATTTTTTTTTTTTTTTGTTTTTGGCTGCATTCTAAATTCCTTAGCGCTGACTCTCCAGCCATGTCTACATCTTCAATCGACCGTGAATGGATGAACATCACTTCTGCTTTCTGGATCAAACCAAACACAACGTGGGCAGGAAGCAGGACTAAACCAGCGGACCGGTCAAATAATCTACGGATGCTCAGGGGACCTATGGCTACTCCCTTAAGTTCGGTTAGGACCGAATAGACACCTCAACCCAGAGAGTAAGATGTCGGAGGTTGAGGGGCTGGGGCGAAAGTGTTAGAATTCTTCACTTTGGTGAAATGATTTAATTAAAGTTCAAAAGCTGAACGGATGCTCGTTTTACTAACTTCTTGAAAAACCTATTTTCTTCGTTTTCTTATTTATTTATTTATCATCTCGGACTTGTAAACGATAACATTACAATTGAGTGATTACACAAGCAGTGAGGAGTTACGTAAACTTCAAAGACGCTTCTAAGTTTCCATCAACATAATATTATTATTTCTATAATTTACGTTACCATTTAGCGTGAATTGTTACGCATCTGGAATTATTTTAACTGAGATGCATAATTCAATACACCTCAGCACAGTAAAATTTGTTAGATAAGGATGATGTTGAGGGTGAAAAAAAGAAAAAGAAGGGAGACAAAATAACTCCCAAGAATGGCTAATGAATAGTGGGATTCAATATCTACAGAAAGATCTCGAATGAAAGAAGTCATCTAATTGTTGCGATGACATTACTGTGCTTTCGAGCGGGAAGCAGGTTTTCCCACCTTTGTCTTCGTCGTAAATTCAATTACTCACGCATACGCATGCGTGAAATGCCAACAGGAATGCTTTTACGCATGCACACATTTTCAAGGAAGGACACGCATGCATATACTAGAGGAAGCACGTATGCAAAGACAGAGAATCAATATCTAGCGCAAAAAGTTGCGCACAATTTTACAGGAATTAACATATAGATTTACATAGACCTAGATATGAACGGACATAGATATGCAAAGGATAAGATAGATAGATAGATAGATAGATAATCTTTAAAACCACCCAAATAAATGTGAAGAGACTTAGATAGATAGATAGATAGATAGATAGATAGATAGATAGATAGATAATCTTTATAACCACCCAAATAAATGTGAAAAGACTTAGATAGATAGATAGATAGATAGATAGATAGATAGATAGATAGATAATCTTTAAAAACACCCAAATAAATGTGAAGAGACTTAGATAGATAGATAGATAGATAGATAGATAGATAGATAGATAGATAGATAGATAATCTTTATAACCACCCAAATAAATGTGAAAAGACTTAGATAGATAGATAGATAGATAGATAGATAGATAGATAGATAGATAATCTTTATAACCACCCAAATAAATGTGAAAAGACTTAGATAGATAGATAGATAGATAGATAGATAGATAGATAATCTTTAAAAACACCCAAATAAATGTGAAGAGACTTAGATAGATAGATAGATAGATAGATAGATAGATAGATAGATAGATAATCTTTATAACCACCCAAATAAATGTGAAAAGACTTAGATAGATAGATAGATAGATAGATAGATAGATAGATAGATAGATAGATAGATAGATAGATAGATAATCTTTAAAAACACCCAAATAAATGTGAAGAGACTTAGATAGATAGATAGATAGATAGATAGATAGATAGATAGATAGATAGATAGATAGATAATGTAAAAAACATGGCCAGCGAGATAGATTTGAAAAACTTATAAATAAACTTCTTGATAGTGACCTCGTTAGATAAATACGAAAAAAAGTTTGATCCAACGAAACTTTGATAGATATGTAGAAAATGAGATAGATAGATGAATAGATAAACGTATTTAGCTAGCCAAAGTGATATTACAAAAATAAAATTCTATAAATATAGATATAAGGAGATAAAATCGAACAGAATGTAACAGATATATAAGAACAGATTGAGATAGATAGATTGATAGATAGATAGATAGATAAAAACTGAATGTAAAATAGATATAATAGGCTAAGGTTACCTTAACATATATCAGTGAGCATTTGACTCGTCATTGATCTGTGTACAAAGATGTGTGAGATTTGGGTGTGTGCATGCACATGTGTCATTTGAAAAAAATGTCAATTTGATAATGATGAACTTCTTATATTTTCTAAGTCTTCTCGCTGTATTTAGGCAACTTCAACAACCGCAGCTGGATGTTCGAAGCCAATTTAACGTTTCTCTTGTAACAATTCAATCAAAACGAAGCTTTTTTTTTTTCAATATACTCACCTGCTGTCGTCATTCGAGCCTTTAATTAGTGAATAATACTGCTGTTTTATCGACCATTACACAAATTTCAATCGATCCATGGAATCTTGTAAACCAAAAGGTCTACGGAAGCCCCTTTCATAAAACCTTAAAGAGCAGCTTTTCCGAAAACAAAGCATATGGTGAAAAATACTGTTACCCAGAATCCATTCTGTTCATATCTATCTATCTATCTAGCTAGCTAGCTATCTGTTGAGATTTATATAACCATCTATCTATCTATCTATCTATCTATATATATATATATATATATATATGCCCATCTATCTATCTATCTATCTATCTATCTATCTATCTATCTATCTATCTATCTATCAACAGATACATGGGCAGATAGCCCATCTATCTGTTGAGATCTATCTATCTATCTATCTATCTATCTATCTATCTATCTATCTATATATATATATATATATATATATGCCCATGTTTCTGTTGAGATCTATCTATCTATCTATCTATCTATCTATATATAATCTGCCCATATATCTATCTATCTATATATCTATCTATCTAACTATCTGCCCATGTATCTGTTGAGATCTATCTATCTATCTTTCTTTCTTTCTTTCTATCTATCTGTCTATCTATCTATCTGCTCATGTTTCTGTTGAGATCTATCTATCTATCTATCTGCCCATGTATCTGATGAGATCTATCTATCTATCTATCTATCTATCTATCTATCTATTCTGTTCGTATCTATGTATTTAGTTGTTGCATATATTCGTTCGTTTTTTTCTTTTTCTGGTGTTCTGCGAATGATATCGAAGAATTATTTCATATGATACCCAGTAACTCTGGTTATCCTAAGAAATCGATGTCTAACGTTATTGAAATTTTATTTCAGTTTTCTCACCCCTTTGAGATGGAATGCCAAGTAGATAAGAATAAGCATATTCGGCATCTTATTCTTCTAATCAATTCTTTTAATCAGGTTCACAAAGCTACCAATGCGGCTGGAGACATTTGCGCTTTGTATAGAGATGAGTTCATTACTGACAAAGCGACACAAAATCACAAAAATGATTTTCCAGTTTCAAGGAGAGGGAATTTCAAACTCACAGATTCTCCGCGTTCTATTCGACCTGTTCAATTTGATGAGAACCAGTTGCGCTGATTAAAGAACAATAGCGTCAGAACACAATGGAATAGCAAGCTCTCCGGTTACTGGTAATGTCCAGAAACACGGCGCATGGATGTCTCACGCATTGACTGAGAGAAACAACCCCCAGCGCTACACCAGTGCCGCCATTTTACTCGCTCGACACTAGGCTATTCGTGAATACAAAGAAAGAGCTCGCCTGTGAAGTTCTGCCGCATTCCACCATCTCTTTATTTAACCCCTTCAGGCTATTATCTTTTATAGTCGCTTTCTAACAATTTGAGGGGTGTTTCGTTCAATAACGATGTCGAGGGTAAAAGGTGACATGATGAACTTTTCGAGTCAAAGCCTAGTGATATTTAGTATTTGAAGATATTTTGTGCAATCTTGGTAGCTATATGTGTTAAAATGAAATGTCAGTGTTATTTTCATTTTCGCGTAATATAGACGACAATTTATCCATTGCACCTTATATATATATATATATATATATATATATATACTGGTTTAATGCATAATTATCAGGCGTTGTTTACACAATATCTATTTTGAAAAAAGAAACATAAAAATTCAACAATAACATTTTTAAACAGGAGCGTATGATTATAGGCACGCATTTTTATGACCTGAAAATAAAATATTTTTTATTAAAAAACGTAAACAAAACAGCAATTTTTATTAACAAATAACTCGCCTGATAATTAAGCAGGAACCCAATATATATATATATATATATATATATATATATATATATATATATATATATATATATATATATATAGAGAGAGAGAGAGAGAGAAAATACATACATACACACAGAAATGAGAGAAAGAACAGGTGAAGTAAAATTCTGTTGTTCGTAACATTTACTTTTGAAAAAGCGTTCAATACAAAGTAAAGCAATATATTATTATGATTTTTATTATAAAAGATTATAGCAAAAACATGTTGAATTTTTTTTTTTTTGCCTCTTCAGGCGATGATAGGCAACTGGTGATTAAATTTTCTTAAAAATCATTTAATCACCAGTTACTTACCATCGCCTGAAGAGGCAAAAAGTTGCCGAATCACAAAAGCTATTGTGTAGCGATTTCAACATGTTTTTGTTATCATCCTTTATAATAAAAATACAGAGTGAGTGAGAGAGAATTGGCCTCCGTTAATCTCGAGAGACAATGATAACTGCTAGAAGGACTAGATAATCCTTGTTATAGAAGCCTACTCATGCACACTTATGTTTCTTCAATATCCAAAGAGACAACTTGTGCTTTATACTGCAACTATGTCGTGTAGATATTAGTTAAAATTTATAAAAAAGGAGCGTATAATCTGGTGTGATCAGTATTTTAAACGAGCTCATATCTTGATTATACCATTACTTTCCATTATACTTACATGTGTTACTTATTTGTTTCGTTTTAATCGAGTCCACCCCAAGAAAGGCAGTAAAGCCACTAAGACCCCAGTTTGTTACTGGGTGTGGAAGAATTAAAAACAGAAACATTACTAATGAGCGCGAAGAAAAATGAGAAATCAGGAGCTCAATAGATAGCGATCGACATTGCATTTACATTTTTGAAGATTAAATTTGACTGGAAAGCATGGAACTGGAACTAAGTTCACCAACGAGAAGTGCGAGAGAAGAAACTGTTAGCATAGAACTTACGGTTACATCTAACGAACTCAACTATAAACTAATGAGAACTTGACGCTTAAACTAAAAAAATAAAGTCTAGTTCTCATAGCGAAGAGCGATATTTATTTGTAATTTATTTACAAAATGTGGCACAAGGCCAAAATGGAAGACGGGAAAAGGGACGGTCTTCTTCTGTCATAACATTAAACTTAGCTAGCCACAAACGCTGACCCAATCATACAAACAATATTCCTAACACCAAAACAACAGTATTTTACTTACCTTTCTTATTACATCCACCATAATACCTCATTGTCTCTATGAAAATCCTAACCAGTCCCCATATGTACAATGCATTGTCTGACGGGGGAGGGGAATAAAACAATAATTTTAAAATTAACCCCAATGAGAATTTACAATATGAAAACAAAAAAAATTACCATAGCAAAGAGCGATATTTATTTGCAAATATTTACAAAATGTGACACAAGGCCAAAAATGGAGAATAGGGAAAAGAACGGCCTTGTTCTGTCATAACATTAAACTTAGCTAGCCACAAACACTGACCCAAACATACAACAATATTCCTAACACCAAAACAACGCATTCTTGCTTACCTTTCTTACTACATTCACCATAATACCTCATTGTCTCTATGAAAATCCTAACTAGTCCCTATATGTACAATTCATTGTCTGTGGGAGGGGAATAAAACAACAATTTAAACAACTAACCCCAATGAGTATTTACGATATGAAAATAAAACTATTTACAAGAACCCAAATAAAATAATGTTAGTAATAAACCCCGCCACAATCCTTAAACAGACAGGCGAAACGAAAGGCGCCCCGCATCCACCAGAGAATTGACATCATTGACCACCGATCGATGGAGAGGGTGGGGGATAGCGAAGAGATCATTCGAACAATTACCACGAAAGTATTTATAGAAAAGGCACAGAGAAGCAACCTTACTGACTGAAACCGTGACGCCAGATCAAGACCAATAATATTGCTGATTCTTATTTGGATTTTATCAAGGAGCTTAAGGTAAATAGCAGGAGTACCACACCATATGTGGCAGCAACATTTATAAATTTATAAGATGGTTTCTAACGAGAAAAATTGTTCGATTCTACAAAGTAAACCAACTTTCCTAGCAGTAGACTGAGCAATTGATTCAATATAATCACTCCAGTTAATTTCAGTGGAAAACATGAGTCCAAGAAGGCGCAAAGTGAAAGCAAGCAGAAAATGTTCTCTGTGGTAATCAAATTAAATGCTAGGCCACAAAAATCTCCTGAGCCGTCCAAGCATAGAAATGAATACAATATGTGAACCAGTAATAAGGAGTGCCAGAGAAAAGCGATAATAACAACAAAAATTGCAATATGAGCTCTGGTAAAAACATGTAATGGTAACAGAAAAAAATGCTTTATGAGCACTGGTAAAAAATGGTTGCTGAAGACATTAGGTTTATTATACCCGGAAAATTCATACACAGATGTCCTCATGGCACAGTGGATAAAGGCGTTAGTTAGATCCAGTGACAGGACCCAAAGTGTGTGAGTTCAATACCCGGTTAAGACGGTGGAGACCTTTCAGAGGGAAATTAACAGGAGATAACTTATTAGTGACATCCATTAAACATGGCACGTGGAACTAGAACAGTCTACCCCAACGAGCGAAATAAAGGGTTCAGTTCGACATTCCGAACACCTGAAGAAGTCGGGAGCGTACAACGGCCGAAACGTTGTGATAAATATGGCGACAAAGATGAGGGAAATAGTCCAAATAATGTTCATAATACCTCATCTCAGAAATATAGACAGATACTAAGTCAGTTTTGTTTTGAAGGGCTTAAAATTTACAAGCCATTTCTTGCTCCTGTTAACCACTAATTGGAGGTCGTTTTCGAGAGCAGTTGTCAGTTTTGCTTTGTCGGATCTGTTAAATCTGCTACTAATACAGGAGTAAGTTGCTGTGTCATCTGCACAAATTTCAAGTCCGACTATTACGGGAGAAGGGAAGGCTGAAAAACTATAATGGCAACTATTAACATTTGAAGAGAAACTCAGCGCAGAAAGAAAGAAATGATAACGAATTCTTATTTGTAACTGGCGAAATATCGCGGCCGCCATTGTTTGTGTCAAATTGCAACAGTATACACTATATGTTGCCTACAAGTAATTCTCTTTGTAGAAGTAACGATAGAAAATAAAGGGCTGGGACTCTTATTAACAGTTTTGGTAACACGTCTAGTCAGCTTCGAAAGAGAGAGCAAGGTTGTAACGAAGGAAGAAAAATACAGCCTTTTGATAAGTATTTTAGCATTTTTATATATCTCTTTGAACACATATGTAAATTTTGACTCTCCAATCAAGCGGGGACAACTGGAACCCATTTCTATAAATTTTCTGTGACGACGAAATATCTTTCATTTTATTTTCGTCACAAGATTACAGTTGAATTCCCTCATTTCTCCCTTACAAACAAGAGTTTCGCTAAGCTAAGTGCACAAAGTATCTACATAAATACCCAGTTGGAACGGATGACATCGGGATGGTCTTTGATGAAGATCAGAAGCAGCTTAGTTTCGAGAATAGTGCCTGGGGTGACCCCTGCATTAATATGAAATGATCTAGAAGTAAGCCTATTCAACAAGACCTTCATTACATGATTTGTTAAATATTCGTCAAGAAACACTGTAGCTTAATAGATAAATTCAGTGTTAGTCATTAACACATCGTCGGTAGATCTGGCAAAACGGAAGCTATATTTTTTATCCGAAAGGAGGCGGGGTGAAGTAAGATGCCTAACCAATTCGGCGTTGATTGGAGCCTCTAGACTACTCAGGTAGCAATTTGAGGGGTTCTTAAAAAGAGGAATTACAGAGGGGAGATCAAGATTTTTTAGCGAGTGAATATTACATTAACAATTTCTTTTAGATAACA